GTACTGGTTCATCAATATTAATAGGCGCATTTAAAAAGATCACGTGCAGGGCTGGACAAATAGAGACAACAAGCGGGGATTATAGCACATGGATTGGCGGAATCAAGAGTATGCAAATATAAGGAATAAATGTCAGATTTTCCGAGTTCATGATGATGATCAATCGATTCACCATTGGCTTCCGTAATAATTTTATGCATAAACAGCGAAATTATCACGAAAGCCAATCGATCGATCGCATCATGAAATCGAGAAATAAGACAGTTATTCCTTAAATAAGAATTTAGAATTCAAATTATTTAACTCTTTACAACTTATTGAATTGTTTTGCAACATACACCGAATCCTCGCGTCATAGATATATTACGTTACCATTTCCCCGCAAGCACTTTACAACGTGGTACAAGTTTTTCTAAAGTTTAGCGTAAATAATACTATGACATAATATTTTAATTAGAAAATAACTTTTCTTATTTTATGAGATTTAAGCAAGTATAAAATATTTGGAACTTGGCAATAAATTGAAGATTAAATGAACTTCTTATAGTGCGTGAAAATGCGTGATTGCGGGGAAACGGTACCGGTAAATGCGTGATTTTGCGTTAGAAATAGGAAACGGTATATGCGTTAAAATACGTTACTGTGGGGAAGGTGGTAAATCAAGGTATGTCAAAATAAACTTGCTGCCCGTTTCACAAAACTATTTTTTGACTATACTGTATTAAGACCGATAATTATCTAACACTACTGGCTTTTAAAACCCCTGTCCGTATGAAAATCCACTGTCTTTCTCTGTATCCTACAGCATTTTCACAGTAATCTACGGTATATCTACAGTATGCTACGGTATGCTAGCTCTGTATATACAGTAAATCTCTGTATGCCACTGTATGTATCCCCAGCATGCCACAGTTACATACAGTAGGCCCCGATACGCCTACAGTATGCCACTGTATGGCTACTGTTTCCTACAGACAACTACGGTAAACCACAGTATATGCCCCAGTACGCCCCTGTATATGTTCATTGAAGCAAAAAGAAGAAGTTTACACACTCCCAGAGCACTGTACGGTTACCTAAGGTGTGGGATTGTCAATTTAGTACACAGAGTTACTTACCTAAGAAATTTTTGAACATTGTTTTAAACACATGGTAGTATTTTTTTTTAAGTGTTAAGAGACTAATTGTGTTTTTTTATAATAACTCTAAATAACTAGAAATATTAATAAATTGTTGCTTCAATGAATATTTATCTATCAATTTTTAAAATTAATTATTTAATTATTCTTTGGTTTGATTTATTACTTAATTTATTTATTTTGCAAACACCTATTTAATCTATAAAATACTTGGAGTGACTTTGTAACTTTTGAAAAAAAAAAAAAAAGCACGGCCGGGGTAATGCTGAATTTTGGAAAATATTAGTTTTTAAAATAAATATAGTTTCTTTGAAAAAACAAATAAAATTAATTAAATAAAATTAATCATTGTAATCACAGTGAGATTTACTGGTACATTGATAATCAAATTCATAAAGAGCAATCGTCGATAAAATCTTTCCAAAGAAATATGAATTAAAGTCAGCAATAATCATAAGGCATACATTCTAGGTTACATAGATCGGAATTGCAACATCTCAGACAACGTTCAGTTGTTCTCTTTCCGAATATATCTGGACTACCACTGTCACAAATCTAAAGGAATGGAATAAAAAACCTTTTCTTAAAAATCATTATATAAACTATTCGGGAATTATTCACTACTTTCAACTCTTGTATATGCCTGGAAAGGTTTATATATTTTTACTTATTCACCTCATTTGATTAGCGGATTAGGATTGGGATTTGCATAATAATGAAAAGAAGCTTAGTGTCTTGTTCACTTTTGCCCTGCTCTTAGTCTACTGCAATAGATTTGTATCCTAATATTTCAAAATACACATAATTCTTATTTTGAATTTCAATTGACTTTTGTGACCAACCTGTAAATAGGGGCCTTGTTTTGAAATGTATTAACACTAACAGAGAGTGCTGCTTCATTAACGACCCTCTCAAAATGTTTTTGGACATTTTTTTTAAAGGTGTTAATATTAAGCTTCTTTAATTGATTATTTCTATAAAGTACATGGCATTTACCCCCAGGAAATGTAATCAAACACAACACAATATAAGTGAATAGAGGTCACTGTTGTTTAAATCCATGATGGTTATCCCTATTTCCTTTATTTGAGTATTCTGAAATCTACGAATGGACTTTTAGGAGAAGCAACTACTTCTACAGTTCACGGATTACTTGGACATTTAAACGTGTATAATGTACGGAGATACAGAATTGATAACACATGTACATAAGAAAACCTTTCTAGTGGTCATCATAGATATGGTGTTACGGGCACTGGCAGGTGAAGGCCGGGAATTGAGGGTAGGTTGGTTGTCGTTTTCTTATGAACAACAATGTTGAAGAGTTGATAAATGAACTTTTAGTTGGTCACACTACTGGCTTTTAAAACCCCTGTTATGATCCACTTTTTCTTTATCCTACAGCATTTTCACAGTAATCTACGGTATATCTACAGTATGCTACGGTATGCTAGCTCTGTATATACAGTAAATCTCTGTATGCCACTGAAGCATGCCACAGTTACATAAGCCATACGCCTACAGTATGCCACTGTATGGCTACTGTTTCCTACAGGGAAACCCCAGTATATGCCCCAGTACGCCCCTGTACACAAAAGGAAGAAGTACATCCCAGAGCACCTTACCTAAGATGTGGGATTATCTTTAGTACACAGAGTTACTTACCTAAGAAATTTTTGAACACTCTTTTAAACACTTAGTAGTATTTTTTTTTAATTAGTTAGGAAACTTATTGTGTTTTTTTATAATAACTCTATAATAACTATGAAAAATTAATAAATCATTTCTTCAATGAATATCTATCTATTAATTTTTAAAATTAATTATCTAATTATTCTTTGAATTGATTTATTAGTTAATTAATTAATTTATTTATTTTGCAAACACCTATTTAATCTATAAAATACTTGGAGTGACTTTGTAACTTTTGAAAAAAAAAAAAAAGCACGTAATGCTGCATTTTGGAAAATATTAGTTTTTAAAATAAATATAGTTTCTTTGAAAAAATAAATATAATTAATTAACGGCATAAAATTAATCATTGTAATCACAGTGAGATTTACTGGTACATTGATAATCATTTGCAAATTCATAAAGAGCAATCGTCGATAAAATCTTTCCAAAGAAATATGAATTAAAGTCAGCAATAATCATAAGGCATACATTCTAGGTTACATAGATCTGAATTGCAACATCTCAAAACGTAGTTGTTCTCTTTCCGAAAATGTTTGGACTACCACTGTACAAATCTAAAGGAATGAAATAAATAACATTTACATCAATCATTAAGCTAAATATTTGGGAAATATTCACTACTTTCAACTCTTGTATATGCCTGGAAAGGTTTATATATTTTTACTTATTCACCTCATTTGATTAGCGGATTAGGATTGGGATTTGCATAATAATGAAAAGAAGCTTAGTGTCTTGTTCACTTTTGCCCTGCTCTTAGTCTACTGCAATAGATTTGTATCCTAATATTTCGTAATACACATATATTCTTATTTTGAATTTCAATTGACTTTTGTGACCAACCTGTAAATAGGGGCCTTGTTTTGAAATGTATTAACACTAACAGAGAGTGCTGCTTCATTAACGACCCTCTCAAAATGTTTTTGGACATTGAGAAAAAATACTTTTTAAAGGTGTTAATATTAAGCTTCTTTAATTGATTATTTCTATAAAGTACAATTTAAAAAATGTAATCAAACACAACACAATATAAGTAATAGAGGTCACTGTTGTTTAAATCCATGATGGTTATCCCTATTTCCTTTATTTGAGTATTCTGAAATCTACGAATGGACTTTTAGGAGAAGCAACTACTTCTACAGTTTTACTTGGACATTTAAACGTTATAATGTACGGAGATACAGAATTGATAACACATGTACATAAGAAAACCTTTCTAGTGGTCATCATAGATATGGTGTTATGGCAGGTGAAGGCCGGGAATTGAGGGTTTGGTTGTCGTTTTCTTAAGAAATGAACAACAATGTTGAAGAGTTGATAAATGAACTTTTAGTTGGTCACACTACTGGCTTTTAAAACCCCTGTCCGTATGAAAATCCACTGTCTTTCTCTGTATCCTACAGCATTTTCACAGTAATCTACGGTGTGTGGTATGCTAGCTCTGTATATACAGTAAATCTCTGTATGCCACTGTATGTATTCCCAGCATGCCACAGTTACATACAGTAGGCCATACGCCTACAGTATGCCACTTTGGCTACTGTTTCCTACAGATTAAACCCCAGTATATGCCCCAGTACGCCCCTGTTTATGTTCTTTGAAGCAAAAGGAAGAAGTTTACACACTCCCAGAGCACTGTACGGTTACCTAAGATGTGGGATTATCAATTTAACACAGAGTTACTTACCTAAGAAATTTTTGAACACTCTTTTAAACACTTAGTAGTATTTTTTTTTAATTAGTTAGGAAACTTTTGTGTTTTTTTATAATAACTCTATAATAACTTGAAAAATTAATAAATCATTTCTTCAATGAATATCTATCTATTAATTTTTAAAATTAATTATCTAATTATTCTTTGAATTGATTTATTAGTTAATTAATTAATTTATTTATTTTGCAAACACCTATTTAATCTATAAAATACTTGGAGTGACTTTGTAACTTTTGAAAAAAAAAAAAAAAAGCACGGCCGGGGTAATGCTGCATTTTGGAAAATATTAGTTTTTAAAATAAATATAGTTTCTTTGAAAAAATAAATATAATTAATTAACGGCATAAAATTAATCATTGTAATCACAGTGAGATTTACTGGTACATTGATAATCATTTGCAAATTCATAAAGAGCAATCGTCGATAAAATCTTTCCAAAGAAATATGAATTAAAGTCAGCAATAATCATAAGGCATACATTCTAGGTTACATAAATCTGAATTGCAACATCTCAGACAACGTTCAGTTGTTCTCTTTCCGAAAATGTTTGGACTACCACTGTCACAAATCTAAAGGAATGAAATAAATAACATTTACATCAATCATTAAGCTAAATATTTGGGAAATATTCACTACTTTCAACTCTTGTATATGCCTGGAAAGGTTTATATATTTTTACTTATTCACCTCATTTGATTAGCGGATTAGGATTGGGATTTGCATAATAATGAAAAGAAGCTTAGTGTCTTGTTCACTTTTGCCCTGCTCTTAGTCTACTGCAATAGATTTGTATCCTAATATTTCGTAATACACATATATTCTTATTTTGAATTTCAATTGACTTTTGTGACCAACCTGTAAATAGGAAATGTATTAACACTAACAGAGAGTGCTGCTTCATTAACACCCTCTCAAAATGTTTTTGGACATTGAGAAAAAATACTTTTTAAAGGTGTTAATATTAAGCTTCTTTAATTCATTATTTCTATAAAGTACATGGCATTTACCCCCAGGAAATGTAATCAAACACAACACAATATAAGTGAATAGAGGTCACTGTTGTTTAAATCCATGATGGTTATCCCTATTTCCTTTATTTGAGTATTCTGAAATCTACGAATGGACTTTTAGGAGAAGCAACTACTTCTACAGTTCACGGATTACTTGGACATTTAAACGTTTTCTACGGAGATACAGTTTTGATAACACATGTACAAAAACACCTTTCTAGTGGTCAATAAATGGTGTTACGGGCACTGGCAGGTGAACCAAATTGAGGGTAGGTTGGTTGTCTTTTCTTAAGAAATGAACAACAATGTTGAAGAGTTGATAAATGAACTTTTAGTTGGTCACACTACTGGCTTTTAAAACCCCTGTCCGTATGAAAATCCACTGTCTTTCTCTGTATCCTACAGCATTTTCACAGTAATCTACGGTATATCTACAGTATGCTACGGTATGCTAGCTCTGTATATACAGTAAATCTCTGTATGCCACTGTATGTATTCCCAGCATGCCACAGTTACATACAGTAGGCCCCGATACGCCTACAGTATGCCACTGTATGGCTACTGTTTCCTACAGACAACTACGGTAAACCCCAGTATATGCCCCAGTACGCCCCTGTTTATGTTCTTTGAAGCAAAAGGAAGAAGTTTACACACTCCCAGAGCACTGTACGGTTACCTAAGATGTGGGATTATCAATTTAGTACACAGAGTTACTTACCTAAGAAATTTTTGAACACTCTTTTAAACACTTTAGTATTTTTTTTTAATTAGTTAGGAAACTTATTGTGTTTTTTTATTAACTTATATAACTATGAAAAATTAATAAATCATTTCTTCAATGAATATCTATCATTATTTTTAAAATTAATTATCTAATTATTCTTTGAATTGATTTATTAGTATTAATTAATTTATTTATTTTGTTTTTCTATAAAATACTTGGAGTGACTGATTTTGAAAAAAAAAAAAAAAAAGCACGTGCTGTTTTGGAAAATATTGTTTTTAAAATAAATATAGTTTCTTTGAAAAAATAAATATAATTAATTAACGGCATAAAATTAATCATTGTAAAAACAAATCAATCTATTTCTTGACAAATGCAAAGCTGCATAGTAGACACGGCACAAAATAAACAAGGTGAAGTTAAGTTAAAATTAAATAAAATAAATGACTTTAAAAATACAAAATTGATCAATGAACTAATTAATTATCTTATTCATTTATTCTGTTTATCAATTTACGAGTGTGTGTGTGTGTGTTCGTAAAATTTTATAGTGATTAGATGAAAGCAAACAACAGGCATATTCATAATATAGAGTCCAACAATATTGGAAAATTTCATCACTTTCCAATTACCAATAAGGTCACACGAGCTTTCTGAAAATGGAATGTTGTGAAACCCGGGGGAGACTTCGACGTAACGTAAAGTTGTATATGCCACGTCGCGTTATAGAAGCATCTAAATGTCCAATTTGACTACGTATTTCTGCAAAATACCGCCCTTTTCTCCATTTTTTTTCTCAAGAAAAGCATAATTATCCTCTTGCACCAACTTATCTTCATTTTTCGCTCAAATTTCAAAATACTAACCATCTTTCCATATGATGTTCCAATTTCAGTAACAATGTCAAGGACAGCACGGCAACCGGCAACGTCCATTAACGCTTTTAATTTGTCTAGGGGGATGTGCACTTATAACAGAGCCTCAAAAAGCGGCTACAACTTTAATCAACGTCCATGGAAGTTCTATTTTCTAAAATTTCTTATGCCACTGGGAAACCAATTAAATGCATTTTTCCCAAGCCTATGTCAATAATATACGCGTTTAATATGATCCCGGGATTTATACAAAACGTATGACTTGACCGAAATTTGACGTAGTCCAACTACTTAAAGATGAACAATAAATCATCCAACTTATAAACTAAATATCCAGTAAATTCAGTAAAACTCTCACACAAAGGTTTATAAAAGATCAAGCAATCGTAATAATGACATAATTTTGGATTTATATATAACACATAGGGCGGTTTAATTCTCATTTTACGTATTAAGAATTAAAATTAATAATAAACACGTTAATGTCTCCCCCGCATTTCCAAACAACCTTTTCTATGGCAACTGCCATAGAGTTACTATTATTTAAAATGTTTTTCAATTTAAAATATTCATCAAGTGTCTATATTTTCATTTGTAATTTTCAACCAATTCCACTTAAAAATAAATAAATTATGAAGAAATTCCACGAACTTTCGGATCAACCCTCGTATCTACAAATACATAAATAAACAAAATAAATAAATAAATTATTTATTTTTGTAATTGACAAGACAACAAAGTGATCAATTATATAACCCCCCCCCCCCCCCACACACACACACACAAAAAAAATTGGTTTTTGTAGTTTTATTTTTAAATGAAAATTATTTCTCCTAAAATATGCTACAAAGTAATTTTTAAGCATATTAAAACAAATATCAATTATTTTACGTCCATGATGGATATCAAAATAATCGTCAGATTATGCACAATTTTTATTTGTCAATTGCAATTTTATATTTTTAGTTTGATTTGATTGAAGAAAAAAAATCGGTTTTCAAAACCCTAACACGATTATGAAAGAACTTCAAAGCCATTGATTGTTTACAAGTGACTCGGGGTACACAGTAATGATACTGATTGTCTTTTTCACTGACCACTATACCTTGTTTATTTTGTGGCAGAGAGCGACCCTGTCCACTCTGAGGCTGTTTGAAATAACATTTTCTCTTTGTGAGAGGACCGATTTTTTTCAAAAAATAAAATAAAAGTATCAAAAAAGCTATTGACGGGTTAAGATTGTGCATAATGAGACGATTATTTTGATATCCAACACGGAAGTAAAATAACTAAAAGTAGTATAAATGTGCTTCAAAAATACTTTGAGAGACATTTTAGTGGAAACTTGTTTACATTAAATAAGCCAAATAGATCCAATTTTCGGGATTATAATTAATTAATTTGTTTGTTTCGTCAATTTTAAAATTAAATAGATATAAATAAATTGTTCTTTTTACAATGATTAAATACGTGCTTTTAATCAGTTTTATTTATTTATTCACTAACAATTTAAAATCAATTATTGAATTGATTTAAAAAGTATTTTTTTTTTTAAATGCAGCATAACTCTTGTTTTGTAGGTGTGTGTATGTAATTTTTTTCCCAAAAGATACAAAAAAGCCATTTCCAAGTATTTTATGGATTAAACAGGTGTTAGGAAAATAAATAAATGGTAAATAAATAAATAAAATAGATAATTTATTTATCACCATAAAAATGTCACACTCTTTAATTATATTTTTTAAATTGACAATACAACAAAATAATCAATTATTTATATCCCTAAAAATAAGATTTTTAAGGGTTTTTAGTATAAATATTTTTATCCTAAACCATGATACAAAGTATTTTTTAAGCATATATAAGTGAATTTCAATTATTTTACGTCCATGATGGATATCAAAATAATCGTCAGATTATGCACAATTTTTATTTGTCAATTGCAATTTTATATTTTTAGTTTGATTTGATTGAAAAAAAAATCGGTTTTCAAAACCCTAACACGATTATGAAAGAACTTCAAAGCCATTGATTGTTTACAAGTGACTCGGGGTACACAGTAATGATACTGATTGTCTTTTTCACTGACCACTATACCTTGTTTATTTTGTGGCAGAGAGCGACCCTGTCCACTCTGAGGCTGTTTGAAATAACATTTTCTCTTTGTGAGAGGACCGATTTTTTTCTAACAAAATAAAATAAAAGTATCAAAAAAGCTATTGACGGGTTAAGATTGTGCATAATGAGACGATTATTTTGATATCCAACACGGAAGTAAAATAATTAAAAGTAGTATAAATGTGCTTCAAAAATACTTTGAGAGACATTTTAGTGGAAACTTGTTTACATTAAATAAGCCAAATAGATCCAATTTTCGGGATTATAATTAATTAATTTGTTTGTTTCGTCAATTTTAAAATTAAATAGATAAATATATTGTTCTTTTTACAATGATTAAATACGTGCTTTTAATCAGTTTTATTTATTTATTCACTAACCATTTAAAATTAATTATTGAATTGATTTAAAAAACTAATTTTTTTAAATGCAGCATTACTCTTGTTTTGTAGGTGTGTGTGTGTAATTTTTTTTCCCAATAGATACAAAAAAGCTATGCCAAGTATTTTATGGATTAAACAGGTGTTAGAAAAAATAAATAAATGGTAAATAAATAAATAAAATAGATAATTAATTTATCACCATAAAAATGTCAAACTCTTTAATTTTATTTTTTAAATTGACAATACAACAAAATAATCAATTATTTATATCCCAAAAATAAGATTTTTAGGGGTTTTTAGTAAAAATATTTTTATCCTAAACTATGTTACAAAGTATTTTTTAAGCATATTAAAGTGAATTTCAATTATTTCACGTCCATGATGGTTATCAAAATAATCGTCAGATTATGCACAATTTTTATTTGTCAATTGCAATTTCATATTTTTAGTTTGATTAGATTGAAAAAAAAAATGGTTTTCAAAACCCTAACACGATTATGAAAGAACTTCAAAGCCATTGATTGTTTACCAGTGACACGGGGTATACAGTAATGACACCTATTGTTTTGTTCACTGATCACTATAACTTGTTTATTTTGTGACAGAGAGCGACCGTGTCCACTCTACAGCTGCTTGAAATAACAGTTTCTCTTTGAATTAGAACCGATTTTTGTCATACAAAACAAAATAAAAGTTTCAAAAAAGCTATTGACGGGTTAAGATTGTGCATAATGAGACGGTTATTTTGATTACTAACACGGAAGTAAAATAATTAAAAGAAGTTTAAATATGCTTCAAAAAGACTTTGAACCACATTTTAGCGTAATATTGTTTACATAAAATTTGCCAAATAAATCCCAACTTTCGGCTATACAATTTATAATTCAGTTTGTATATTCAATTTAGAAATAAGAATTTTTTTTTGCAATGATTGACTACATGCAATCAATTAGATTTTTTTTAAAGAACATCAATAAGTTAAAAAAAAAAAAAGAATTACTCGGGCTGTGTTTTGTTTTTCTTAACAAAAGTTACAAAGTCACTCCAAGTATTTTATAGATTAAATAGGTGTTCGCAAAATAAATAAATTAATTAATTAACTAATAAATCAATTAAAAGAATAATTAAACAATTAATCTAAAAATTGATAGATAAATATTCTCTGAAGCAATGATTTAATAATTTTTCATAGTTATTTCAGAGTTATAAAAGAACACAATAAGTTTCCTAACAATTAAAAAAAAAATACTACTATGTGTTTAAAATAGTGTTCAAAAATTTCTTATGTAAGTAACTCTGTGTACTACATTGATAATCCCACATCTTAGGTAACCGTACAGTGCTCTGGGAGTGTGTAAACTTCTTCTTTTTGCTTCAATGGACATATACAGGGGCGTACTGGGGCATATACTGGGGTTTACCGTAGTTGTCTGTAGGAAACAGTAGCCATACAGTGGCATACTGTAGGCGTATCGGGGCCTACTGTATGTAACTGTGGCATGCTGGGAATACATACAGTGGCATACAGAGATTTACTGTATATACAGAGCTAGCATACCGTAGCATACTGTAGATATACCGTATATTACTGTGAAAATGCTGTAGGATACAGAGAAAGACAGTGGATTTTCATACGGACAGGGGTTTTAAAAGCCAGTAGTGTCACGTGATCAAATCCTGAGATTTTCTGTAAATTTGATCACATACCAACAAAGTTCATTTCCCAGTGCACTTTTTAACATTGTTGTTTATTATTACTTTTATTGCATTCGAGACGAATAAATTTCGAGTAAAATTGCATTTATTACACGAACGGGCCATCGTATTGATATGTTGTGGCGCGCAATGACCTAGAAGCTGTTTGGTCAAAGTTAGTTTACATCGCCCCAACATTTGAATGTTAACATTCATGTTTAGAGGTCCAGTTCAGAAAATCTCTGTATATAGTGAAACAACAATGATTGCTTCTTAAAATAATTTATTTCATAAATTCTTACAATATTTGAAGACAAAAACGGTGGTATCGCTTGTTTTAGTTTACATATCTCCAAATGAATTTCGGGTTTAAAAGGTATGTGTGGTTTTAGGCCAATGAATGCATTCAAAACCTTATTCACATCAAAAGAAGATTCAATGAACATCTTATGATTGAAAAATATCCATTTTTTTTCATTTTATGTTTTTCATCGTTATATTAACTATGGAATGTTCCAAAAGAAGTTGCACCGTAGACAAATTATCACCTCGCTCTGTGATTCGGTCGCGCTATGATCTCTGACCCTCAAATAACATTCACACAGAATTGAACATATCTTCTCTTTAATGGGTTCATCTAAGAAATATATTTGCAAATAAAATATTTCAAGAACAACTTATGTATGCATTAAGATATTTATATGGTACAAGAGCTTCCGTACATTTTATTAATGCAAAACTTAGCCGTCAACTGTAAAGTCAGCGTTCCTCGTAAAAGTCAAGTAACTGTAGTAGACCATGATATTTGGAAGTTTTTTTAAGGTAGTAGTACATGTACTACCTTTAAAATCTTCCAAATATCATGATCCTCTATTGGAGTTATGTCCCACCACCAGGAGAAATGATTTGTAGATTTGACATGTATACACCTGTGGAAAGTAAATATTTCTTTTGTTGGATATAGGTTTTTATTTTTGTGTCGCCTGCGGAGCAGAGTGGCACTAAGCAACCACTTTACCCGGAGTCTGTCTGTTTGCCCATTTTTCCGTCTGTCACACCTTCAATCTGATAACTGTAAGAGATATGGACTTCATATTTTGCATATCTATTGAATGGCACTATCACATTTGTAAATTGCCATGGCTACCGACCTCGTGAACATTGATGTTGTCCTTCATCTACTTTACAAAGAAGTTAAATGTGCAATATACCGCATAGTAATACATTTAAGGGGTTATTCTATGAAATTGAGCATGTGTATTGATTGTCATAAGACATTATGGAAAATACCAGCGTTACAATTCACTTGACATTGACCTATGACCTACTTTACAAAGAATACCTCGGGCAATCTAATTTAACCGTTTGAATTTTGAGAGGCGGATGTTGATACATTTTAAACATTTATACATGTTTATTAACTCATAATGCTGTTCTTTTAAACTGTGTGATATTCTGTAACCACACAAACTGATATTTAGATATTATGAAAATACATCTGGATCGGGATCCTACAACACATTATGTAGCAGGATAATTGGTGTAAAGACTCTAAAACACATATTGATAACACGTGTAAAATGATAAATTATTATCTATAATAATTGCAACTTAATTATTCATATAAGGGTTGGAAATCATTTGTTTTATTCACAGGCTCCGGCAGTCTTATACTACATGTACATGTATGTGTTGATGTTTTAGTGCATTTATGATCACTATCATGTTGTTTCTTTTGTACGAAAGACTGTGTATGCTAGTAGCATAAAATGGCTGAACACTGTTAGATTTAGTTATATCTTTTAGAAGCTAAAAGCAGGCGACAATGTATTCCTTGGAACACTCTTGATTTATGGCCCATTGTGAATTATAGTTAACCTAGCAATGCAGAAAGCTTGCAGAAAATGTAATTAAATGACAAAGAACAACAATTTATTGAATTGTTACTATATCATTTGGCATCAAAGTCTTTAAATCAGGTATCAAAATATGATATTAATTTTTTTAAAAGTTAATTCAATTAAGCGTTGTATATATAAATTTGTTATACTTACATGTTTTTGTGAACAGGATTGTACAAAAATGGAATCACCAAATTCAACTTCCTCGCGTAGATGACAAATCTGTTTTAAATAATTACGGTATAATGGTTTCATTTTTGTTTAGGTTCTCTGTTATAAATTGATTTTATCAAAACCAATTTCTTTACAAAACTATGGTTAGCATTTTAGTTCCTTGCTGTTGGAATCGTAGAAAAAAAACTTTTTTTCTCGTCTTTCCATTTGTCTGTTTTGTAATCTATCCTGTTTGGTTGTTTTTGCACTTTTTTCTATACATTTGAGGATTTTGAGCTGTTTTTTATATATAAGTAGAGGTTGATAAAAAATTGATCACGTTTGCATTTCATTTTTGCTTCAGTGAATTTTGACGGAATCACGACAATTTCAGTTTTAAAGGTTTTTGAAATTTTTGCATTTTGCTTTAAGGTGAACAGAGCTAATTTTTGGTATGTGGTATTTCTTTGCTGAGATAAAGATCAAGAATGTGGTTTTCTGCTTCATTAATTTTGGGGATTATAATGCATTTTCAATTTCTGAGGGGAACCGGATTATACTAACAAAAGAGTACTTGTACTGCTTATTCATCAGCTTGTGTAGTTGAGTTTATACTCAATATGTACACTGAATTATGGAACTTTATGTGATGATATAAAGGATTAATGGAAAAGTTTATACAATCATGTACTATACCTTTCAAATTTAAAAATACACAGCAAGCTTATAACACTATCTCCATGATATAGTGTACTACAGACTCGTGCAATAAGTATTCGGTCAAAATGGCGGCGTGTTTACACTGACAACGGTAGTATGAAAAATCTACAAGCTAAAATTTCAATGAAAACTGCTTTGAAAATTAAAAAAATCAATTACTTGCGATTAAATATTAATACTTCATAAGGTGTCCTTTGAGTCTGATTACATTTAGAATCCGCTTTGGAATGGAGCCATACAAGTTTTTAATGTAAGCAGGCGTGATACTTGTCCATATGCCCCGAATTTCCTCGATCAAATTGTCTCTCGTTTTTATTGCAGCAGTGCTTGACTGAAGTTTTCTTTTTATGCGTAAACCAAACATTATTATATTCAAGTCTGGTGACTGAGCAGGCCAGCTTAAACAGTTAATTCGATTTCTAGCTACATACTCTTGAGTTGACCTGGCTCGGTGGACGGCTGCGTTGTCATCCTGAAAATACATTTTGAGGGAAATGTCTTGCCAGAACAGGCCATAGGTTTTCCTCTAAGATATCTTGATATTTAGTAGCATTGATATTCCTTCTACTGGCGTCATAGTTCCAACACCCTCCCTGCAGATACCTTTTCATGCTTGACTTGTGAAATCCTCTGCTGAACAAGGTCCGGCCTCCACCCTTCGTCTTTTTTTTTCCAAATCCTAATTCTTTCATCATTACCCAATATAGTTTTACTCTCACCTGAAAAAATCACATGCTTCCAGTCCTCTACTGTCCATCGTCTTTTCCCCCGACACCAAGCAAGCAGCTTCTTACGATTCACTTCTTTAATCATGTTAAAAACCAGTTTCTTCTTAGAAACACTTCTCCTGTAGTTATGTTTGTGCAAATTATGCTGTAATGTTATATCAGAAAGTGAACATTTACGATTTGTTTTCACAATCCTCTCTAACTTCCGATAGCACGGGCCGATTTTTGGAGGTCGGCCGCTTCTGGGTTTGTTTTCAACAGATCCCGTGTCAGAAAATTTTCGACAAACGTCTATAACAGTTGATTTAGGTAACTGTAACATTTCACTTAATATCTTTCTCCGAGAATAACCTTTCTGCATTAACTCCACGATGATGTTTTTCACATCTGACCCAATTTCTTTTCCTTTCCGACCCATCTTTTTTACTGTTGCTATATTTGCTCTAAATTTGTAAACAGCAGACGAAAATATTGTCACGTGATTAATCATGTGACTAAATTGTTTATATTTATACAAATCTACTTCCTGTGATGTGATATCAAGAGGTCAAGGTCATTTTTTTAATACATTGAAAGTGTAAACACGCCGCCATTTTTGACCGAATACTTTTTGCACGTAACTGTAAATCGACTTTGCAGTTTTTAATTCAGTTTCTAATTTATATTATTTTGATTGAGAGAAAGCATTGTTATATTATATCTGAATCTTACTTGTTTTTAATTGAGTACTGTACAGCAGGAAATTTACCCGCGTAGTAAGTAATCGCTTTATTCGCGGAAAAATAAATTCCGCGAAATCAACATACATTGAATAATTCTTTAAATTAAAGATTTGTAAGAAAAAATGAAATTTTACTATTATCTGTGATTAGAATCTTAAAACTTACTTCAAATTGTCTTTCCCTACAAACACAAAGGCAGTAACTTTTATACTTATTATCCGAGATGTAGACTGTCTTTATAATTATTCGGGTATATGGATCGATTACAAACATGCAGTTGTTGATGTTTTTACAGCTTATTAGCTGTAAAATTAATTTCTATAGCTAACGATTAATTTTGCCATATAGTAGACGAGCGATGTAATTATTTATTAAAACATGCTTGTTTAATTTCACCAGTATCACTCAGTCATTACCTTTAATCAAGGCACTTTCGTAGTACTTGAAAAAAAGTTCTCTGATTTGACCTCGGAAAAAAAAAGATTGAATGTGTAACATTGTTTTGACTTCAAATAGGGATAATTCCCGTGATTCGTTATTAATCCATCGTACTCGAAATCGACACAATATGTAGACTTGACTTTTCTGTCTGATGTGCGCGATAGACATCTACAAACTTTCGTAAGATAGAGACAGAAAATATTAATCTTCACAATATATACCTACATGTAAAGAAAAATGTTTTCAAGTACTGTTAAAGAATGTATGAATTTTTCTTTCACACGAATTCAAACGACCGCGATTTACTGAAAATTGAACAAATCGCGATATTTTGCAACCGCGATTTTAACCGGCCATACAGTACATGTTAATGTATTTTGGGTTTTTTTCTGGGTTTTTTTTTATTATTATTATCATTTTTTTATTTTTGTATTGAAAATTGAATTTGGTTGACGGAACCTAAACTCGTGCATATTTTTCAGAAAAAAAACTATTATCTTGAATTACCTCGTTTTCATCACAAACTGTGACAGAACTACAATCTGCAGGGTCTACCGATTGAGGACAGTTAAAACAGAGGGGACCTCTTTTACTTGGGTAATCTGTAAAATGAAAAACAAACTTATACAAGAATCATAAAAAATTTGGAATTAAGAATTAAACAGTCGGAAGTAATATAGTTTTACTGATTATATACATTGCATCGTAATTGTAGGAATTTATTCTTTACTCTTGGATTGTACTGCTCGTGGGCTTTTTCAATTCGGTTAAACACCTGTTGAATTATTTGCTAAATAAATGCACTGTCCTTCATCTGCACGTTACCCCTAAGTCTTCAAAGTATCATTATTTTATTATGTATAGAATGAAGAATACAAACAGCGATCGATATCTAAAAATTCTATAAATAATATAAATCTAAGAAAAGAATATAAAGACTTTAAAGATATCTCCTTCAGTAATAGATAAGGAGAGTTTTTGAAGTACTCTGTGTTTACTTCAGAGCATACATGTACATGTTTGCTAGCAAGAATCGTTCTTTGATAATGAATTCACACTGAGATGGCTAATATTATTTGCTTAATAAGTGTTATACATACCTAATCCCCCACAGCCTTTGTGATTACAAGCATCAGTAGTACAGCATTCTATACACTGTTCTGTGTGGGCATAGGCAGGGTTGTGGCTTTTTAACAATCCAGGTAACTTCCGCTTAGAGCAGATCTACGATATTTGTATGAAAATAATTGAGCATATGTGTAGACATGTTAAATTCAAGGAATTTTTTTCCAATGATCTTTTCGAAAAAAGAAGTTTTATTTTCAGAAAATGAATGAGCTACAAGTTTTGCTTAATATAGTGTCTGCTTTCTCGCCTAAAATTAACCGATTTTTTTTTTTGACTTATTAGGTATTGCATTTAAGAATTTGGTTACCAGGGAAGCTTCAGTGGGCTTAAATGCTTTTTTCACTAGTTCTATTTCTAAAATAACCATTTGCTTTCAGCTGAAATACGTTCGCCCTATATACTTTCCAATCAATTACTTACTGATGGGGTGTGACAACCTGTGTCATATAGAACTTCTCCATTTATTCCTGTATACCTCTGGGTAAAACACACCTACAAAAAATGAATAGTTCTGTATCTTATTTTATCAAACATAATCTCCATATATTTCTTTAAAAATAATAATTTTTATATTGAACGTTTAATATTAAAATCATCTCGTCATTCGATGAAAATATAAAGGTTTTTGCTTATTAAATTGAAATGAGGATGCACAACCTCAAAACCCCTACTTTTATTTAGACTTTTTGATCAAAAGTTTCATTTAAAGCGGCAATACGGCTGCAAATCGTGTGCTTTTTCATTCCAATTTACCCAATATATCATTCAGGAATAAGGTAAAAAGTTTAATTAAGCATTTGAGAAAAAATAAATATTCCCTCCTCATACAAAATTAGCGTAATTAGAATCTGCCGGAAAATCAAGGGTCGTACAACTTAGCTCTGTTTACTTGTACTACGTGAATTCTAAAATGGCACGTGCATACAATGTAGGGTTTACAATTATCATGGAATATTAAGTAAAATCAATTCTGAGAATCAAAATATCTTAACTCTCCGGTCAATTAATAATACTTAACTTTTTAGTCTGCATTCAGACGAATTTAATGATTAAGTACAAATGTTCACGTTTTGTGTATTGGGGTGCAGGAAAGGAAAATCCACCAAATCATACGTCATTGCGGCAAAATGTCAAACATAATACCTTTATGTAGTTCCAATACAATTTGCACTTCAAATGGCAATAAATTTTATATGTATAACGTTGAGTTTAAACTGATTTTTTTTTTCTTTTAAGGTCAGACGAGACGTTCCTCAAAATCTGTTATGTATATCTTCGTAATGCATGAAAAATATTCAAAATTTTCATAACATTCTGATTTCTAAAGCAGTTTCTAGACATTTTTAAAAAATCCAAACAATTAAACATTTGAAATTGGAAAATTATTTTTCTTCCCCAGAGAAATATATAAGAAAAACTACCCCTGGTATCTTGCAGAAATGCCTGGTAAGGTACCTCAATTTTTTGTGAGTAAACATGTTTAAGTAGCAACACTTCAATGACAAACTCTTAGAAAAATTTATCTATTATTAAGGAACGTCTCGTCTGTCCTTAAAGCCATGGAGATACGAGAAATGATAACAAGTATCAACAAACCTGTAGGGTAGAACCTTCGCGAGCCCCACGTGAATGTCGCCGAGATCCCGTTTCTTCTTCATCCAATGATTATATTAATCTCCAAACTAAATTTTTGTCAGCAAAGTTGCTTTTTAATTTCAAGCCCTATTTTTGATTTTGTTCTTCGTTTTGGTCGACTTTGTCAATGTAGCAGGCCTACCGGGCTTCCCTCTATTACCATGCTGTTTTGTTTATGAAAACTATACGCATGCTCGATAGCATGGAATGTGGAAACTCGAACACGTTGCAATGTATATATTTATGGACTATAAATAATTATTAATTCTAATGAAATAATCAGAATTATTTACTTATGAAATTTGTAATTTTCTGAAAGTGTATACATTTATGAGTATGAAAAGAATTCCAAATCCTACAGGAAAATTTTAACAAGTCTCTTTTTGAAGAGATGCGCCGTATTGTCACTTTACGGATATGGCTAGATTTCCCACGGGTTTATGTTGTTTTTATAAGTGAGGCAATTATGTTTTTAGAACGTTCAAGAATGTTTGATAAAATATGAAAGCCATAAAGGGGTTTATTCTACCTATTCCCACTTTTTGAAAATCAGGTAGGAAAAGGTAAGATTTCATGTGGGAATAGGTGGAATTTTTGTGTAAACAAATAATTAACTATGAAAACACATAATTACTATGTAAACAATGATCCACAATTATTAATGAATACCTGTTGGAATAGAGGACCAGTATATTCACTTTTTAGAATTATAAATCTGACTTATAAATCAAATACTATAGTATTTGAAAGAAAAATAAGTGAATTAAATCCTTTTTTACAATGTTCATAATATCAATGCCCCCCTTCCCCGATAAATCTATTTATTTTATGTTCTAGAATTAAGATATGAAAGTGCTTTTTTTCTTTGTTATTTTCTCAAATCCATATTTTTCATTGAAATAATTCATATTTTTCATTAAATTTATTCGTTATTTTGTTATTTTCTCAAATCCATATTTTTCATTGAAATAATTCATATTTTTCATTAAATTTATTCGTTATTTTCTGTCTTAAAATGTACAAAATACAGATAAATCTAAGAAGGAGTGTAATTAGTCAATTACTGTAAAAACAAATTAACTATCTAAACATCTATTGTTCTTTGCAAGTGGGAATAGGTGGAATTGAAATTCTTAAAAAGTGGGAATAGGTAGAAGACACCCATAAAGGCTGCTATTTCAATGATTTGGAGCTTCCAGTTTGATTTTTCGTCTCGGCACCTTTCAAACAATTAATAGTTGAGGCAATCAGGTACCGCTGGGAGGGTGGCGGAGAGATAAATGTATCTCCTGCTCACCAACCAGCAAGAAATACATGATTTCCTTGACCTTAATACGCACTGGTTGTGCAAATGAGTCTTTCCTCATTTATTTATTTTTGAGGGGGGTGGGGAGACATAAGAAAGCATGTGTCCTTTTCATTGTATAGGCACCAGTATAATCACACAACCACTTATGCTACAAAATGGCCCTGATTGTAGAGTAAAGGGTTAATTGTCTAAATAAATCATCCATCTGTACAAACAATGGCTATTAAGAGGGATTCTTTCATTGTATTTAACAATAAAATAATAATTGTTTTACCTTTCCTTGATCACATTTTTGTATAGAATGGCAATGCCTCGGAGAGACAACAGCGGTACAACTAAGACAATGCAGTGCATCTAAATGATAAAGTAATATATATTCTTTCAATTTCCTCTACATTTACAGAATAGCCACTTGTTTCAATTCAACATCAGGTTAACATTGCACTAAAAAATAATGCTAGAAATAGAGTACACTCTTAATGCATATTTTGTTGCCTCGGCATACCAACTAAGTTCATGTAATTATATTTTGTACACGTAGTACATTGACATTGAACATGAACAACTGTATCTGAAAGTATCAGCAGTATTCATTATTATATTTTGGGTGGGGGGAGGTTGATTTGTAAAAGACATACCCACAGTGTCGATTCTGATTATCACAAAGATGACTGGAAATAAAAGAAATGTACATGATATAGTACTTTTTCATGAAGTAATACAATAACTGTGATTTTTAACAAGAAAGGAAATTCCATTATTTCTGAAACAATTATACGTACCTAAAAATACGTTAGACACAAACATTTTACACTGTGAAACACCTTTACTGATAATGTGCAGGACTAATGACTCTGACTAGAACAATGTGGACCTTAACAGCTGATAACATATCTCTATGACGATCTTTATTGCACTTTTACGTATATGAGATTCCAATACTATAAGTCTTGTAGATATTTTTTCTGTTAATTGACATTGCTTGACAGCAGAATATATTCTAAAACTTAGTTTAAAAATTAATGTATACAAATGTCAAACAGCGTTGTCTATGAGCAGTTAAAAAAAAAAATATTTTGAAATTTAACGAGAAATATTATTTAAATACTATATAGCTCTCTTTCATCAAAGGGAAAAAAATTCAATAATAAATATAATTGTTAAGGAGATGAATCATTTTTTCTTTGAGAAATTCAAGAGGACATGAGCTACGTTGATTCACGCCTGCGTATTACATGAAGTGCGATAGCCTGATAAATTGCTACATATTTTTGTCATTCAAAGATCATTTAAAAAGTTGCGCTATTTTTTTCCTCAATCACATTACAGTGAAAATTTATTCCTATTCATCTTATGGTTGCTCATGAGAACATAATCTTATTCTAATTTGCAAAGAATCTTGGGGAAAAATAATTGAAAATATAAGAATATTAAAATTTTCAAGTGAATTATCATTAAAATGGATGAGCTGAAAGCCGTCATGTTCAAATTCCTGAGAAACTTCATGGAAAATTCACGTGGTCTATTTAGAAAAACCAATTCAATATACATTAGATATGCCACTGTATATTTAGCTGGGCAGTTATAATCAAGATGGAAATCGTCTTTTTTGTCACGATAGGAGACATCCATTCATAGCGTAACTCTCGCTACGTGCATGTATACCATAATCACCTTTAAAATTTGAAATTCATAATAAAAAACTTTTTTAAAATATTCATTGGTGCATCTATGATTGATTAATAATTGATTGACCCTGTGTCAAAAAGCATTTCATTATATATTTTCAATCTTTCATTAACGACACAGAATTTTTATAATTATTTGATTAAATAATAGCAAAAGTCATGATGTTAAATGTTTATTTACCAACAGTTCCAGAGATACTTTGCCAAGTTTATTATATATGTTTTATATTCATAAGCTATGTTCATGTTCTCGAATCTTTCATAGCAAGAATTTCCTTTAAAATTACAAATATGTATGTGAAAAAGTTGACGGTGTTGTGTTGTCAATTGAACGACCTTGATTCCTACAATGTTTCCAATATCATAAACGTTTATCATAATTAAACTAATTTGTCTTAGATTAGAATTAGCAATCGTTACTGGTCAGCATTTTCTTTGTCAGACCCGTTGTAACGTTGAATTTTGACCCGGGTTGAAAATTGACCTGGAGGTCATTTTTCAACGTTGAATAGTGAAACCAAAGGTGTTGAATTTAGACCCTAGTCCGTTGAAAACTGAGCCGGGTCGTGGAATTTTGATCATGAAACCGGTTCAAAATTCAACAGCATAAAAACACATATTTATGACTTGGTTTTCACAACTGTGATATAATTCATGCGCGTTGGAAACGGGAGAGGGGAGGGGGGGGGGTAGGAATGCTTACCCCTTTTTTTGCAAAGATAGACATAATATAGGCATTGAACAATGTGAAATTGGGTTAGTTTCCCCCCCCCCTGCTTTCAACAGGCATGTTACCGTGTAGTAAAAAAGAAGAGTAAGTGGTAGTGTTATAAAAAAATATATTGGATCCAACCCCACCCCAGCCCCCACCCCCTCAATAGGATTTTCGGGTTTGGACTACTAGTTTGGACAATGGAATTTTTTTTCTTGTCAATTCTTTTTTTCAGATTTGAATTTTTCTTTTTTTTTCAATAAGCCCCCCCCCCACGCACTTAAAATTTGCTTCCGACACCAATGTAATCAATGCACACTTAATTCTGTATTTCAGTTATATTCTTGGAATGAAATATTTGAAAAAAAGATATCATAGATTTCAAAGTTTCATGTAGCTTAATATTGCAATATTTCGTGTAATATTTATTTAAAAAGAAGTACACTTGTATATGTAAATCCAGAATATTAGTAAACATAGTTAAACAATATACAATTTAGTTCATAAATTTGTTTATTTTTTTGCTAACAACACTTCATTTTTTTAATTTTAAAATTCCTAATATTAGTATTTGGAAAATGGGGAGAGTTTAACGCATGATGCGCATGATGCACGTGCTTATTTAGTTAGTTATGCACAACATTAATAACTTATAATGTCCAACTTGAAATACGGATTTTTTCAAAATAAAAGGTTTAGTTTAGTGATCTTTTTCGCATAGTTAATCAAACAGTTCAAGAACGAACCTCACAATTAATACATATTTATTTTGTTAAGTAGAGGATGTAAAAGGGGTGTAATATCCTTTTTTGGGATTAGTACCATATATATGTAAAGATTTTTTTTTTGACTGGGCTGTTTTCTTCATTTTTGTAGTTCTTTTAATCAAAAAATGCTTGCCTTAGATACACAACTCTAACTTTCAGCGTTATTTAATATTTGTAATAAAGTAGCCAAAATAAAACATTGAACATCCCCACCCCCACCCCCCACCCGAATCGGGGAAACACAGGATAGTTTGTGAGGAATTTTTGAAGCGGCCCTTCCATCCAATTAGAGAAACATGATTTGGTTTTCAACACTGACTAGTTTCCCTTTCCATTTTTTGTTTGCTTGTTTGTTTATTGCGTTTCGTTTATTTATTTTGTTTATGTTTTTTTTGTCACAATATTTCAGAGGGTTTTGATACTATACCCCCGCTTCCAAGAAAAACTTTAGGATCTCTCTCTCTCTGTGTTTCTTTGAAGAGGAATGCACTTTTTAGTTCTTTAGATCAAAAGAAGTTGCAGGGACGGCGTTTTTTTTAATTGTTGATATCAAAGATGGCGGGAAGTGCAGCTTCTAGTCCATCCCAGATTCTAACTCTAGTTCTCATTCTCAAGGTTATGCTCCGAAAACGATCGATTTTTAGGCCGAGGCAGGCTACTGACAGATAAGTTTGTTACAAGGATTTCACCAACCTTGTTTAAAGTCAGCATTACTTACATGTTATGGTCGCTATATTGATCTTTTCACAAATATAACCTATCATTGGATTCATTTTGACCGATGTGTTTCATTCTAATTTTTAGGCTTTTAATTTTGTTAATTTTTAAACTGAATTTGACTAGATGGGATGGTTTGCCCACCTTATCACTTTAATATTATATACGGCTCACTTTCTAGAAACCAGATTTCCAGGATTTTTGTTTTATGCCCTTTTCATGGTTTTGTACATGTAGTTATTTATGGATGTGGATTTTAGAAAATATTGTCAAAAATAAAGTTGTCATGCTTAAAGATAACTGAAATCGTGCACTGATCAAAATGTACATAAATACGCGGGATGATAGGTTTATTTCTATTTTTCTTGAAAAGGGAAAAAAATTGAAACCGAAATATAAATATAGCGATACTGATACATCCCGTAAAACAACTTCCAAGTTCAAAAACTTTTTAAACTCTTAGGTGGGGTCAATATTCAACAGGGTCTATTTTCAACTCGTTGAAGTCATCGGGGATAAGAAAAAAAATATCAAGCTGTTGAAAAATGACCCCGGGTATAAATTCAACGACTTTTGGTCTCAATTTTCAACGTTGAAAAAACACCCCTGGTTCAACATTCAACGTTGAAAAATGAACCCCGGGTCAATTTTCAACTGGGGTGAATATTCAACGTGACACCGTTTCTATTGTTTCCAGTTAATGGTGGTATTTTCAATTTAAGTGATACATCAAACAGCAATCATGATCAAATACAAGTGTCACTAAATTGATGTGTGCGTGGAGTTTGCTGCTTAGATAATTGATCTGTTCTTATCTATCACAGGTGATAATATCAAAATATTGTATTTTCAAGCAATTTGGTTGAATCTGATTCGTCGATAAACATTTGTTAAAAACCACTATTACCCGCTGAATAATGAATCCATGCCCTCTAGCGTAGCAACAGTCGACATTGCTTGAAAACGGGTGATCAGAAAAATGTTGACTGCACAAAATTTATGCGAGCACGTAAGGTTCACTTTCATATGTTTTTGTATAAAATATTGAGTATAAAATAATAAATAGTGCATGAAGCTGAGCGTAACATTGAAACTTTTCATCCCCTAGAAAACCATTGTCAACCCAAGCTGCGTCTCGGTTGACAATAGTTTTCTTAGGGTTGAAATTTTCAATGCTACGTCCACTACATGCATGCAATAAATATATAGGGGTCGCTTTTATCTTACAGTGAGGTTTCTGACTGGTATTATTTACTGAAACATGAGCTTCAAAACAATTATTAAGTACATAATTATGTACATGTAGTATTGACAAAGGGAATTCTGTGTTTCTTATTATTACTCAGAATTATTTTTTATGTTATAACCAGTATGAGTAAATGTCTTTTACATGATAATTTAGGGCCAAAAGACGTCTTAACCTGTCATGTCCGGCCCTTGTTCAAATTAGACCAGAAAACCCATAAAATATATTTCTCTGTTAAAATGTACTTTTTCTGCTTTTTCCTACTATCTAACAAATAAAACCATTTACAATTCAATGTTAAGGTAAGTAAAAACTTCACTGAGTGTTTAATTAACAATCAGCATTGATTTCATTTAATTCAATTTATTTATTTATTTATTTCATTTCGTGTACAAAAGCTTATCATCCATCTGATGTTTAAAAAAAATAAAAAATAATAATAATTAAAAAAACTATCATGTAAACAAAATTGGGAATACATGTATAGAGACTTAGAGAGGAAATCTAAGTTTGTGCCACAAGGCTCGTCGTTCCAATCGTCATGTAAACGTTTGACACAACTGAGCATATAGTGACTTTTCACAGAGGAAATCAAAGTTCATGCCACATGGCGCGTCGTTCCAATCGCCAGCAGGTAACAGATTAACACAGTCTTCAAAGCTTGCAAATTCTGGTCTAGCTATACTTGGTTGTTGTGGATTCCAGTTTGTAAACTGGAATGTTCTATTTGAATGATTCCATTTATAAACACCCTCCTCTTCAATGTCTGACCCCCCTGTCCAAACCATGCAACTAATATCGTACGTTTTACACAATTCTACAATAAATCGATTAAAAGATAAATTAATAAGAATAAACACAAAAATATCATGTAAATTAGAAAGGAACCTCAACCCACCTATGATGTGCAAAGCTCAGTGTTTGCTCTGCTCCAGATTTGTATTGCTTGAAAGAATTTTAGCGGAATCTTTATATTTCAATCAGATTCTAACTTACTTATTGTTGTCTTAACATGCAAATTAAAAAAAAAACACTAAAATATTTATGGTCCATGCAATGACTTCGTTCGCAAATACAATCTATACATTTAATTATGTCCAATGAGGAAAGACGTTTTATACAACTTGTTCGAACCTTACTTTTACACAGAACTATAAATAGATTTTCCGTTATTTTCCGATCATGACAAGGAGCACACGGCGTATGTGACCGGTCAACAATGGGGTGCTCATACCTTCATGGATATGGTGCCTGATCCCGTCTCTGATGTTTAAGTTGTATATGTGATTTCTCTCCTTCTGAATTGTTTGGTTCAGTTTCCTTTAAGTTTGATTACGGTAACTTATGTCAATATACTTCATTTACCTCTTTTAAGAAATGTGTTTGTTATCCAGTCCGATTCTAAGCGTTCCTCAATTTCCACTAGATACCCTCCTTCTTTTGCACAAGCAATCTATACAAAACAGTGTCTATAAGTAAAACTAATGATTTGTGTAGAATCAGATCACATGGTGTGCAATACAAAGTATCCGAAGTTCAATTTTAAAATATATCATTTAAGGAACATGATCTTTGTTAAGTATTGATAAGTACTGAAAAAAATATTGAACCTGTAGAGATAGCACGAAAACATGAAATTTGCACATTTTGACACTTAGATAAAAGAATTACATCAACAAAAAAATGCTCGATTATTTTTTTTTAATTGTACAACACCTTTATGTGAAAAGTCATTAGCACTAAGTTATTTAACAGAAATTGAGATAAAAAAATAGTTACTTGCCTGTTCAACGTTCTAATACCCCTAAACATTTCTTCTAATGCAGAAGGTCTACATAAATTGTTTTAACATTGATTTAACGAAGTAGTAATATTGTTTTCGATGTTAAGTTTTCATCTGTTGAAAATGCTCTATATGATAAGATTTGTTAAAAAATTCCTGAAAATAACCAATATTCAAGCTACAATTTTTTATAATGATAAAGTTTCAATTTTTGAACATTTACATTCATATACATGTACAACGTTATATAAATACTTTTGTAAGGTATTTTTTTCTGCATAAACCACCGTATACAGAAGCGTAATTTGATTTTGTGAAAAATGAAGTTTGTGCGCATATACCGTATATATTCTTTTAATTTCGCGTGTTGGAAATTTTACGAGAAAGGGGAAGATTAGTACAGTTTTTTATTATTATTATAAGTTATTTTTTTACGAATGAAGATTTTTTTGTTTGAAATTGTAATGTTTTATGTCACATAGCTGACATAATTTCCGCGTGTTTTTTATTTTGAAAAAAATAAATGCAAAAAAGCGAGAAATAAATCATCGCTAACAACCGGATATACGGTATATAAAGAAAAGGATAGGCAAACAAGAATACAATATTGTAAGTGCAGCAATTTGTTTATCAATTTTTTTTTTCTACCTGTGCATCCATCCAGTTCATTTTCGTGGTATGATACTTGTAAGCATGTCCATGATACTGTACCCATTCATCGGAACACATATTTGCTGTGTAAAAGATACATGCATATAGTTTAAGTACTTGCTTTATGAGAGCAAATTTAAAACGAAAGAAGAAAAACTAAATATTATAAGCGCATACCTTCTATTTTGTTTCGCCATGTTGATAGTTTCTTTACCTCTGCTTTCAATTCCGTATTTTCTTTTTTATATGAATTCAGTTATGTTTCCATCAATTTCATTTTCCTAAAGATCTCTGATAAACCCTTATCATAATGTTCATATTTCTCGTTTATAAGAGACTGGGAAAATACCTGGGCAAAACAAAGAGCAAAGAAGGTACACAACATTTTGAATTCATGTATTTGATTAGCATAAATGGATGTTAGACTACAAAATAAGGAAATATTTGATTTTTTATTTTACAAAAATATTTTTATTCTATTTTTTATATTTTGTACAGTGTTTACCGGAAAAAATTTGTTTCGATACATTAACGTATCAAATTTTAAAATATTCCTTATTCGTCGATAAGATTTCTAAGGAAGCCAATTAACCAAGATGAAAATGTATCTGCCCTTATCTAAAACATTCAAATGTGATATATTTATGCTAATGTACTATATTTTTTACTGTAAAAAATGTATGGTTAAAATATAATTAAGGAAATTAATTTTTTGCTTTCATATGCTGTTATACATGTAGTTTACTTAGTTTTTGACTGTTCTATAAATTGTGCTTACAAAATATCATACAATTACTTTTGGTGTTAAATGTGGCGTGTTATTCACTAGAAAAATATCAATATTGACCGAGGTGAAGCTTACAAAATATAAGATATTATAGGTCTGACGTAATATTAAATAGTCCAGTCAAGAACATTACTAAATACAAGAAGTGACAAAAATCAAGAATTTAAGGGTTCCTCTTATTTTTGGATCTTTTGATTGTGTTCTTTTTAAAAATGCTTTTTCGATATTTTATGTTTCCCATCTGTTTATAGTTATATATATATGTAGTGAAATTGTGTATGTAAATGTATTCCCTATGACCTATCACCCTGACCTCATAGCCATCCACCCATACTGGCCAGCAAGCTTCCTACCTCAGTCCAATCCAGTCCTTAAACCAATCACCACGTGTGTGTGTTACCTGTTTCCTTATAGTGTTGTTACCTGTACCGTTTATCATGTAGAACTTGTCTGTTCGTCATCGCCTTATATACTACTTTAAGGTAGGCGACATTATACACAGTAAAATGCCTTATTTTACTACACTGGCGTCGCCGGTAATTCGGTGCGGGGCGTACTGAAGTTACATGTTTTTATTCACAAAATTCACGTGTGAATTGTCTGTCACTCGTGAGTAAAACCATTCACGTGGAATGTTTTGCATTAACCCCCTTCCCCGCAATCACGCATTTTAACGCATATACCATTTCCTATTTCTAACGCAAAATCACGCATATACCGTTTCCCCGCAATCACGCATTTTCACGCACTTTAAAAAGTTCATTTAATCTTTAATTTAATGCCAATTTCCTTCTATTTTATACTTGCAAAAATCTTATGAAATAAAAGAAGTTTTTTTTTTGTATTAAAATATAACGTCATAATATTATTTACGCTAAACTTTAGAAACGTGTACCACGCTAAAAGGTTCTTGCGGGGAAGTGGTAAATTTCTATTTCTATGACGTGACCATTAAATGTTTGTTGCATAACAGTTCAATAAGTTGTAAAGAGTTAAGTCATTTTAGGAAACTGTTGCCTACAGGTGTTATAATTAACGTTATTTGCAAAGTTCCAACAATTTGACTAATTTGCCAGGTTTTTTTTTCACGCGTGAGTCGCATTTGAACACGTGGTGATATCACGGTCCAATTATTTTTGCATTTTCGTTTTTCATTAGTATTTAGTATTATATTTATCGTACAGCGTTTTTTGTAAACGTTAGTGCGAAAATTTTGAATATTTTCATTACTACTTAGTGTACAATATCGTAAGGGCGTTTTTTGTAAACGTCAACTACGAGAATTTGAACATTTACATTGTCTTGTGCAAATTGCATTATTTTTTTTCTTCTCACTTGATTCAGTTTCGGTCACTCGTGCCACAACGACTTAAATTCATTCTAAATTGTTTGTACAATGTATATTTCATTCTTTTGCACGACACAAATATTTCATTTTTTTTTCTATTGAAAAAGTTGTCACTCGTGTTGACAATTTTCGAGGAGCGTTTTCTTCTCGACTCGTAATTTAATTAGTATATTCATATATTGTTTTTTCCTTCTTTAAGTTCCCAAAAAATATTTTGGGGGAAAGTAGAGAGAGACAGTGTTTTTGTTAGTTTTATATACGAGGGTTGATCCAAAAGTTCGTGTAATTTCTTCATATTTTATTTATTTTTAAGTGGAATTGGTTGAAATTTACAAATGAAAATAAAGACACTTGATGAATATTTAAAATTAAAAAAACATTTCAAATATCTTTGATAGTAACTCTGTGGCAGTTGCCATAGAAACGATTGTTTTGAAATGCGGGGGAGACATTAACGCGTTTATTATAATTTTTTTTCTTAATACGTGAAATCAGAACTATACCGCGCTATGTGGTACATAAAACGAAAATTATGTCATTATTATGATTGTTTGCTCTTTTATGAATATTTCTGTGAGAGTTTTACTGATTTTACTGGATGTTTAATTTTTAAGTTGATGATTTATTGTTCATCTTTAAGTTGTTAGACAACGTCAAAATTCGGTCGAGTCATCTTTTTCGTGAAAATTCCGGGATCACTCTATCTTAAATACGTATTTTATTGACATAGGCTTGGGAAAAATGCTTTTAGTTATTGGTTTTCAAGTGGTATAAGAAATTTAAGAAAAATAGAACTTTCATGGAAGTTGATTAAAGGTGTGGTCGCTTTTTTGAGGCTCTGTTTTAAGTGTGTATCCCCCTAGAAAAATTAAAAGCATTAATGGACGTTGTCTGCTACCGAATTGTTCTTGACATTGGTACTGAAATTGGAACATCAGAGGTAAAGATGGGTAGTTTTTTGACATATGAGTAAAAAATGAAGATACGTTGGTGCGAGAAGATACCCAGATTTTTCTTGAGAAAAAAAAAATGGAGAGAAAGGCAGCATTTTGTACTTCACCACTATTTGAATTGGACATAAGAGCGAGATGCTTCTATAACGTGACGTGACATATCTAATTTGATGTTACGTCGAAGTCTCCCCCGGGTTTCACGACTATCCATTTTCAGAAAGGTCGTATGACCTTATTGGTAATTGGAAAATATTGAAATTTTCCAACATTGTTACATTATGCCTATATATTATGAATATGCCTGTTGTTTCCTTTCATTAAATCACGCTAAAATTTTAAAAAGAAATTCCAACTTTTGGATCAACCCTCGTACATGTAGTTTCACAGAACTAGTTCATGCAAACCCGTTTACCTGTTGTAGCTATATATAGCTCAAAGCGCACGTGCTTCTCGCTTCAACAGTAGACTGATTTTTGTAGTGTTACATTTTTACATATTAGCTCTGTGCAACGACAGTAAATCTCTTTGCAAAAATACAAACAATTCATGTAACATTCATCAATTGACTATACTCTTTAATTAATTAGTTTATCTGGTGTTTATTTTAGTAACATCAGTGCTTATTGCTACCGTCGTCTGTCATCGGGCGTTTACATAACGTTATAAGAGTCAGTGCGGTAATTTAGGTACGCTAATTTACAGATTAAGCAATTAATTAAAGTGTACAACACTAATATTTTGGACCAATACTATAGAGTATCATCAAATAAAAGCAAAGATAAAGGAAACGCTATTTAACTACCAGCGATATACAGATAGAAAGAAATGATAGAAAGAAAAGAAACCTCTAACTAATCGCCAGAAACTTTACTGTTGAATTAAACCGGCTTAGAAACAATTATTTATTGTGTTAAAGAAAAGTTTAATTCATCAATAATCGAAAAATAAAGATAGAAAACATTAAAGATAAAAAGAAGATAGAGAGAAGATGATAGAAAGAATAGACGCTGTGTAAATTACCTGGACTATACAGATGAATTAAACCGGCTTAAATACAATTACAATTATATTGTGTTAAAGTTACATTTTATTCAGATCACGGTGATCAAACGGAACTTGTTGCATATCAGTCACATTAGTGTGTAATATTTTCACCGGCGGTTTCGTTTACCGTGACGTGGAAATAGCGTAACGTACAGCAATATAAATACACACATTCTCCGACTGACTGTTTCAGTAGTATCAAACGGCGTGATAATTTTCGTAACTTTGAACTACTGAAAATTAATCAACAAGATGAACTCAGCTATGACAGCATGTACAGCACCTCCGGGATTCTATGGTGGACCATACCTGTCATCTCTTAATCCATACGTGTATCCAACTCCGTGTGTACCAGTTCCTGGGAGCTATCCAGTACCATTTCCTGAATATGGTGGACCATTCCTACAACCATTCCTTGGACCACCACAGCCATATCCCAGCATACCTTGTGCATATGGCCCATATCCTGGAATGTTTCCACCTGGATACATGGTACCTCAACAGCAATACCCACAGCCATGCATGTATGGAGGACCACCAATGCCACCACCACCATTGGCACACTCACAAGATGGGGTAGCTGTACAATGCCCTGCTATGTCAACAAGTGAAATTCCCTACAACCAAGGCCAGGAACTATCAGATGGTTCTTCACCATTAAAACCTGGAGACACCAGCAGCTGTGAATCTGTCCTGACTGCACCAGTGTATCATCAGCACCAGCAGCCAACATTTACTGCAGCAGTGCACTAGCAGCAGCAGATGCCCACAGTTACCTCCAAGAGTCCACCAGGGTTTCCACAAATGCCAAGTGGTGATGTATCACCTGCTGGTATGGTGTCACAGGATGATCTCCATGTTCCTGGAATTTCAAACTCAGAAGACATAGAGGACAGAGATGAGACAGATGGCAGTGAGTCTGAGTTAAGGCTACAGAGTAGTGAGTATTCAACTGCTAGTTGCCAAACAACTCCAGACACTAATGATACATCTGATTGCCAACAACAAACCCTGGACTTGACACCAGATACACAGGCTCCTAAGACAATCGACAGTTTACAGGAGCCCTCCTACCAAGAGCTGGTTACAGAACAAGAGGAAACAGCAATCTCTTCACTACTGGATCCACAACAGAAGGAAATTAGTGAAGCGCTGAATGCTGATTCCACACTGTCTGTAC